TCTCCATCTCATTATTACACTTGTTACTAATGGTTTGCTTTGGTCTTTTTTGGTTTGGTTTTTGGCTTTGTTGGGTTTTTGGGTTGTAGTTGTGTCTCATCTCATCATGTCTGCCCCTATGCGCCGAAAGGCTACAGTGTCTCGTCCTGCTTTTAATACTGAGAGGTTTCAGACAGCCAAACAGGCCAAATTGTTCCATAAATCTTTTGAGGCTCGAACTATTCACCTAGAACGGAATGTCCAGCCTAACACTTTCGAGTCCATTCAAATCCATCCATTGTTTGACCCCCTAGGTGGTGATTTGGTGTTGTCTTTTTCTGGTCGTCAAAATCCTGACTGGGTTCGAGAATTTTACTGCAATATTCAGCAAATTAGTGACATTGAGCCTTCTTTCACTACCTGGGTTAGGTCTCAATCTATTTCTGTCACACCTGATCTCATTCGCAAGCTTCTTAAGATTGAGAGAGTCTTTCCTGAGTTCTATCCTTTTCCAGTCCGTCCCACCTGTGATTTCAATAATGTGGCTGAGGTGTTATGTGGTGCTTCCCGTACTTGGTCTACGGGTGCATTGATTAAACAGTTTGAACTCCTTTCAGAGTTTAGATTGCTTAATCTTATTGTCTGTGCCAACATCCTTGTGACCACTCACTCATCCGAAATTAGTCAAGACCAAGGATTTGTTTTGTTCTGTATCGCCCGTCGCATGTCTATTGATCTAGCCACACTGATTATTAAGAAGATGATAGGTGTTTCTGGGAATAAACAGTTAGGATTTCCTTATGGTTGTATGATCAACCGTCTTTTGTCCGAGCTTGAGGTCCGAGTGTTAGCGGATAATGAGTTTGCTTTCCCCTCCCGCCCGTTCACTACAAAGACCGTGTCCCAAAGTCGTGCTCATGTTAAGGGGGAGTCTTCTCGGGTCGGTGCTTCTGCAGGTACCCCTGCTGGCCTAGCTGAGAAGGCTGAGTTTGACGCTGCAGCAGCTAGTGGTGAGGCGGATGCAGTTCCACCTCGAGCTCTTCATGATCAGCTTTAGCATTTTGCGAAGGCTATGACCCGGCGGTTAGACTTTCTGGATGCACGCTTTGATGCTTTTGATGGCCGCCTTGGCCAGTTGGAGTAGTCTGCCATCCAGACTACCACTCAGCTGCCGCACATTATTTCCTTACTCCAGCTTCAGCCGTCTCATCCTTCACTTGCTGTTTGATTTGGTTGCTTCTTTCGCCTGTTGTCTTCCTTGTCTCCCGGTCAAAAAGGGGAAGAGTTTTTGGTGGTGGTACATGTTTTTTTTCTTTTGGATAGTTTTTAGTGGTTTTACATATTTTGATATTTGGATATTTTGTTCATGTTTGGATATTATTGTGGTCATTATAGATACTGTATCATGGTTATCTTTCTATGTATGTTTTGATATATTCTTATACAGTTCCACAAGTGTTGTTTTTCTGGTTGTTGCTAGCTATTTCACAGGTGAATGTTGGATGAAGTTGGATGGATGGATTGATCTCATGGCAAGATTGTTTGATAATAGAGTTGTTTAGAGTTTTTTTTTTCTTTGTTATTAATCTTGTCTAGTGCGTGTGTTTAAGGACAATTGTTTAGAAAGGTTTTGTCCAGTAATTGACAAAGGGGGAGATTGTTAGGTCCCTTTATTGTCAAATCCGGGTACAAAAATTTGTGTTGAAAAAGTTGTAATTTTTTCTATGTTTTTGTCTTTCCCGCTCGAGCAGGACCATTGGCGCTCGAGCGGAGTTTGGGGTCTCTCAGTATTTTGTCAGGTCTGTAAAAATACTGGAAGGTGTGATTTCGCACTCGAGCGGGTTCTCAAGCGCTCGAGCGGAACTCTATTTTATCATACACATATTTTGCTGAATCCGCTCGAGCGGGATGTTGGGCGCTCGAGCGGAGATCGCGGACTCAGGTTGCCTATTTATACCTGTTTAGGCTAATTTTACTTTTCACTTTTCCTAGATCTTATTCAAGAGTCCTAGGGTTTTGTTTGAAGTTTTCTTATGAGGTTTTTGTGAGTTTTCCTTGATGTTTTTGAGAGAGTTCTAAACTTATGATTTGAGATTTATACATCAAGGAGTTTGTTACTTTATATTCAAGAGAGTTCTCTTCGGTGGATTCCGAAGATTCAAACGTAGAGTTTCAAAAGGCATTTGATTCTGTACGTAGTCGTTAATTCGACAAGTGAAGTTATGGATTCAATTTCAGGATTGATCAATTCCGAGACGAAGGTGTGGTGAAAGAGTTACAGAAGATTCGAAGACAAATTGACTGAGTTGGGTAATTTGTGTATTATCTTTGTAATCTTTCTTTCTTCAGTAGTGGATTCATTAGTGGCGTTTCGCCCGTGGTTTTTTATTACAATTGAAGGTTCTTCAATTGTGGTTTTTTCCACGTAAAAATCGTTTGTGTCGATTTATTATTTTTCCGAAAACAACAATTTAAATCACTTTCGTAAGTGCTTAATGATTTAGATTGCGTGTTTTGAATAATTAGGATTTGAAATTTTTTAATCTTAATCTAATCACGAATCACTTAGGATTTTCAACTTAAATAACCATGTAAATGTTTCTATATTTTCACGTGAAATGAGTCCACAACCTAATAATGTTAACTGTCCATGATGGTTGACCCCAATAAAAGGGGCAAAGGGCATATCATATTTATTTACCAAGTATGTCGTGTCAAATGTGATCACATCGCCAAACTCTTCAAATGTAGCCCTACTCCTTGCATCAGCCCAAAATACATTTAGTAATCTGCCATCTTCATCCAAATCCAGGACATAAAAAAATTCTGAATTATCAACTTGCATTTTCACAAAATAATTATACATTGCAGTGGCATCTCCTTTCTTGAGTTTCAAATGACGAACTTTGTCCATATGATTCCTACAATCTTTCTCTAAATATGACAACTTCTCATGCCCTCCAGCTTCAAGCACAAATCGAGTAAAATTTTTGTTCATCCTAATCAATGCACTATCATTTAATTCAAGTCTTCTTTTCACATGTGGTTCAAGAATCCTATTTTACTTGAAAAAACGAGATTTGCTTGGACTCATTTCACGGTTATGCTCAAGTCTTAAGGATCGCAGTATCCATATTCCATCGCCTTGTAAATTTGCATTAAGTCCAGCTTTGCATTCCGTTTTAGTTTGTGGGCGTAATTTAACTATATTGCTTGTTTTGATTTTTGCCTTTCCAACACGAGTACAAGCAATAGTTACATATTTTTTCTCCCCATCATCTCCGATTTTACAATATTTCTTTGACACTGCAAAACCATTTCTCTTCCCATATCTTGAATAATATTCATAAATATCATCAATTGACTTAAATGTCATTCCCACTTTAGGATCCTCAATTTCAACTTCTACATTTTTTGTCTTCTATTTCAGTCTCAATATCGATTTTGTCACAGTCCTCATTTGATCCCCTCAATATTTCTTTATCCATACCTCTACAATGTAAATAATAAATTAAAAAAAATTTATTCATAACAAAGGCCACAAAACCCTAATTAAGTAGAAAATTAAATTATTTTATTAACTTTCTGCTGAAATTTTGTAAAAATTCAAGTAGCAAATTCAGCAATAAAAAATTCAAGAAGAAATTTTAGCAACAAATTCGGCTGGTGTTATCTCATAACAATTTTACGCACCGTGAATTCATAACTTGTATAAATTCAAATAAATTTTGAATAAATTTCATCACTTGTTTATTTTTGGTGTTGGCCTTTCTCATGATGAGAATGTGAATCAAATTAACAAATTTTAACAAACAACATATGATTCTTCAAATAAAAAACTTGTAGCTGAAACAACCCATATCATTGAATAGCACAAATTAAAAAAAAAAAAAAAAGTCGATGCATGACAACACCAACAACAACCATTAGTGAAAAAAACACAACACAACAACAACCATTAGTGAAAAAACCAAGCCACTTAACAAAGCAACTGCTACTAAATCTTCATACTGCTATAACGGAGCCGCTATATTTTCATACCTTTGTGATCAGAGATAGTGTTCTTGCAAGAACTCGTAGCAGAAATCGCCGACCGCCAGAAACGTGAGACAAAGAGAAGTTTTTTTTTTTTTTTGAGGGATTGTCGCTGCTGTTTAAGTGACTGCGTGTTGTTAGGGGCTCCAATATAGAATCAGAACTTTCTCTCTTTATAGTCTTTCTAACTTCTCTTTTTATTTTTTTTTTAATAATATATTGGGGGTTCCACTAAGATGAGTTGGTCACTGCCAACTCATTCATGAAACCTTTCCTGATAAATGATTCCTGACTCCTAGCATTATTGATAATAATATAAGAACCTTAGAAGATCGAACCAAAGAAAGATTTGGATATTCATCGATTTGGATGAAAACCTCAGAGAAAGATTTATCTCCGTCCAGATCTAGTAGAACTTGAACTTGGTCTAGATCTAACATCATCGATGACGGACGCCGGTGGATCTGACGGACATAGAGAGGGAAGACGAAGTGGTGGTGTCAGCGACTGAGATGGAGAGGAGAGAGGAGAGAGAAAGAATGGGAAGAAAAAGAGACAGTATGTTACGGTTTGAAGGAGGTGACAGAGTATGAGATCAACACGGTTATGAAGGTGGTGTTAGGGGGGAAAGACAAATCGTGTGAGATTGAAGAGAGAGAGAGGGAGGAAACGAGATCGACGGTGAAGGAGAGAGAGAGAGAGAGAGAGAGAGAGAGAGAGAGACGGAGGAGATCAGTGGAGGAGGGAAACGGCGACGAGTGACGCTGATGAGGAAGGCAGAGATCTCAATAAGGGTTTGGGACCGGCTGAAGAGACAGAGATCAAAGTTCAGAGTGACTGAGTGAAAGGGTTTGGGACCCAATATATAAGAAAGGACATTTTGATCATTTTTCTTGAACTTATCTTCTTGAACAAAATGTTTTAATGCCAAAAACTTTAAACAAACAAAATTAAAATTTAGACTTTTGGACTAAGTAGCCTTGTTTGTATTATTTTTGACAAATGACTTCTTAGTATTTTTTGAAGAGAAAATGTGAAATTTGAAAAAGGCAAGGATCGGGGATGCTTTAACTTTAGACCTCCAAAAAATACACAAAAGATGAAGACAATCTGAGAGAGCTGTGAGTGGGGGTGAGCTGACCATGTCCATGGATGAACAAGAAGACCACGATGGTCTCCATTCTCGAGCTTCAGCCTCTCGGCGCACTCGCTCCCAGGTAGCTCCCGACTGGTCCTCCCAAGAATCCCCACCCTCATCACCGAGATCGCCGCCGTCGAACGCGACTGCCGCAACACTCTCTCCTCTTTCCAAAAATGGAAGATTATCATTGAGAATTGCAACTCCTTGGAAGTCTTCTGTAGCCTCAACCAGTGTCGCCGTAAATGGGACTCCCTTCTATCCAAGTACAAGGAGATCAAGCTCTGGGAATCGTCCGAGTCCCTGGTCGAATCGTACTGGTTGATTGATTATGAGCGAAGATGCGAATTTGGGTTTCTTGAGGATTTTGATTTCGAGGTGTTTAAAGCCATTGATGATCATTTGAAGGTGGGTGATGGGTCGGATACTGACCCGGATGTTGATCCTGAAGTTGTCGCCGATGGAGTGGCCGAGCCTGGTATGCTTTTTCTCATATCATTCAACTGTGATTTAGGTGTTTGCTTGTTTATTTGATTGCTAGCATTGCATGCCCTTTTAATCTTCAAAAAATGGGTAGTTTAAATTATCTTCTATTGGATTGAAATCTGAGTAATTTCAATTGTACACTAGCATTGTTGAGCTGAAATAGTATTTGATTTGGCATTGGATGACCATTATAGGTTAAAAATTCAGTCAGATTTTAGTGGTGTTTGTTGTTGCAAAATTTGGGTATGTTTGGTGTTTGGCTTAGTTTCTTGCAGTTGAAAGTACTTATACCAAGGACTTTGTAATAAGGATTTTCAAGAGAAGATGGACGTTTGGCTTAGCTTTTGAATGTTTATCAATTTATAGTGTTAGAAGAAGAACATTCAGTACAAATTGGGTGCTAAAAAGATGTGGTACGATTAGCCAATGAACAACTTATGAACTAAGGGGAAGGGCCTTTTTAGCAGGTTGGTAAATGAGGTTCGTTTGGCATTGGCTTTTGTAGCTTCGTTTGTTTTTGTTTTGGGGCTTTTTTAATTTTTGTGAGAAAAAAGGTGTAATGATTTTGAGTAAATAGTAGTATTTTGTCTTATTGGCTTTTATAGTCAATTTTGTCTTTTTGTGATTATTTAGCCCCAAAAAGTTTGCCAAACCAGGGCTGAATGTGAATAGCTGCACCCTATTGAATCCTGAAGAAAAATTTATATTGGAGCTCGTCAATAGGAATAAGATGTGGTTTTCCACCAAGAACTGGGATTTTGCTGTCAAATACCGCTTTTATGATAGGGTATGCAATTTATGCTGACTTCGCTTTCATTAATGGTATCTCAGTCTAGTTGTTTGTTTCTCTAAACACAACTTTACATCGTAAAACTTGTGCATGCCATCCTACTTCGATGAGGGACTGCATGGGATTAATTTCTTTATGTCCCATCCATAAAGTGTATGTATTACTGCAACCAATTAGCTTATGCCATATCAGCATTTTGGTTTATTATTCATATGACCTGAGTGTCGGACAATTTTCACTGTATTTAAAAGTTTTAATTCTATTGTGTACACAACAACAAATAGAATTTAAAGAAATAAAGAAAAGGAGAGAATTTGTTTGATTACAAAAATCAAACTCAAAATAAATAAATAAATAAATAAAACCACAGATTTTATTTTGTTACAAAAATAAAATTAAAATCTGATTAAATAAACAAATAAAACCAGAATAAAATTAAACAACTTACTTGGTTAATTTATTTGAATAACTTTTCTGATCAAGTCCAGTGTTTAACACTGTGTCCTTAAGACAGATTCGTCCTCTCCACGGTGCTTTCAGAATTTGGACGTCTATCTCCCAGGATGAAATGATCTACCACAAACAATAGCAGCACTACAAATTGTTTGCCTTACGAACACACTAAGTGTTTATACTCTTTCTTTCATCTGTCAAAAGTTCTTGTGTGATGGAGATTGCGACATCTAAGTAACATAGCAACAACAAGACTTTGTAGAACATTATGATGGCTTTAGTTGGTGTGTTAACTATAAAAAATTAAGATTTTAAAGACAAAAATTTAGACACAAAATTACTTGTTAGGAAAAAAATATTTTTGCTATCAAAAGCTTCATTATTGTATTTTTTGTGACGAAATTAAACGTTTAATGATGAATTACTACCACTCAAAAAATAAATATTTTTGGACCGTACTATTTTGTCAAGTATATTTTTTTGCAATATTCTCAAAATTTTATTGCTGAAAGTTCTTTTTTTTTTTTTCCAAGACAATTTTGACAGGACTATCCTCACCACGGCATGAATTAGTTCCTAAATGTTTTTTGCAATAAATTTTTTCCTTTTAGAGACAAAATATTAGTCTTTACAACTCTTATAACGCTGCTATAGAAATAAGTATGCGAATGGATGTTATTCTTGTCATAGGGGAATATGTGTCAAAATAGTCCAGACCTTCCTTTTGTCTGTAACCTTTAACAACAAGTCTTGCTTTATACTTGTCAATTGAACCATCTGCTTTCATTTTTCTCTTGAATATCCATTTATATCCAAGAGGTTTAGAACCTGGTGGAAGATCCACCAATTCCCAAGTATGATTTTGCATAATGGATTCAATTTCATTATTAACAGCCTCTTTCCACAAAGGTGCTTCAGGACCTGTCATTGCTGCCTTAAAGCTTTGAGGTTCTTTCCCATTCACTTGGTAATGGTTTTGAGCAACCAAATATACCACGTGAATCACAACGCGGCATAGAACGCGTTACCACTTTGACCCGAGTAAATCGACACTCGGGGCCCACCTAAAAAATAGACCGAACTTAGGAAAAAATTCTGGTTTTATCCAGAATTTTATAACTATTTCCAACACTGAGAATTAGACAGCAACTTCCCTTTCCTTCTCTGCTGGATGTCCATCATGGGAAGATAAAGTCTGATAAGCAAAATGATTAAGGCAAATCATTATTAGATTATATCACAAAAATAAATGGGATTGGTAACTAATTTACCACCATAATGGGCACAATTAATCCAGTAAAGCCACCAGCAGTACCCTCAATCTCCACGATCCAACCAAGAACAAAGAGAAAATAGACCAAGAGCAATAGGGTGGTTGGCGCTGGTCGATGGTGGGGACTGTCGGAGTGGAAAGGGAGAAGGGAGAAGGCAGTGGTTGTTAGAGTAGATGAGGGAGAGAGGTGGTGTTGGTTGGTGGCAGGGGTGGGCTGGAGGCGTATGTAGCAATAGACGATGGTGTGGGTTGCGGGTAGAATGGTCGGCAATGGGCATTGTTGCTGATAGAGGTGGCAAAGGGAGAGGAGGTAGAGGCGTGAGGGGAAAGGGGAGGGAGGTAATCACATGTGGTATGGTGTATGTAGAATCTCATGTAGCAGTGAAGTATTTAAGATGTAACTAAAGTTAGTTGACATGTCTTTTATTCATTGGCAGTCCGTAAATTGAGCTTTCATGGAGCAACCATGAATTAGTTAATCCCAACTCCAAAACTTAGTTTTGGAATCACTAAGAAGTTAAAAATCGCTTAAATTTCACACATAGCCCCTTGGTTCCATCAATATATTCCCAACTGTAAGTTTCTCTAGATACTACTTATTTATTTTAATAGTAAGTTCTCTACAATATGCTTTTTTGCGTGACTTTGTGCTTGAGACTGTAGGAAGTGCACCAGTGCAAGCCACATCTCAAAACACGAGGTGCTTACATTTGTGTGTAGATGCGCCTCGAACATTCCGGGGAAAATCCTGTTTTGTTAAATGGGCTCACTACAGTTCGGACTCAATGTCACGGTTCTGAATCTGATCTCGCAAAGTGCAATGCAAGACCGATAAATCACCAAAGAATCCAAATCCAGAAAATCATTTTGAAAAACTAATTTTTAGAAAGAAGTGTCAAATATGGACTGGTTTGCCAGATACAAAGTCGCCACCTAAATATTTTATTTTGGGAGAATTTAGGAAACCCTAACACGTTGCTTAAGGCCATGTGTCCGTCATCACCAAAGTTGCCTCGGCTCGAGAACTTGGGTACGATTGGGAAAGGTCAGCTATGAGCACCCCCGCTCGCCCGATCAAAGATCGGGCACTACTAAACATGATATTTTATTTTGAAAACATATGCGCTCTTATTCCGGTGGATTAGCCTAGAAATACTATGTGATGCACACAGCAAACAAGTATAGGCTGGATCACCTGGATTGGAACAAAATATTTCATGTTTGTCTATGAAAGCGGTTTGCTACTCGCAAGTAGGCTAAAATACGGATTTTGCCACCCTCAAGTGAGCTTAGAAAACATGGTGATTTGCCATTCTCAAGTGGGCTTAAAGCTCGCAATCAGTGAATTGTTCCAACTCCAGTAATCCAACCTTCACCCACAGGCATTCAGGCAGTTATATCACATAAGCAGTTAGCCTCACGGCAAGCATGCTATAATGGCAGTCACTCACACGCATGCAAGGATGCTAAAGCATAAACACTTACCGAGTACTCCGAGCCAAAATAAAAGCTATGTTAGAAACCAATGCATGATCCTAGCTATGTTAAGAATGCCTAATGCAACACAACAAAATGCAACTAGAAGTAGGCTCGGCTATTCTGAGATGGCATACGAAATGCTACAGATAACATGTATTCAACTTGAAATTGAAATACAATGCAGTTAGTATAATGCGCCGAGCCCGGTGCATGTAAGACAGATGAATGGATGCAAACATTCGAGCATAAGAATGCTAATTAAAACATGCCCTAAAACTAACCATCGTAAACAGGTAAGTAAAAAGGAGAAAGACGTGGGGTTGGAAGACATGCATCACACACACGCACACTTATTACAACAGTTGTGCCCTCTCGACGGAGGGTTCGAATAAATAATACAAAACCAACTAGCTAATCTAATTAAACTAGTTATTACACAACCACAATGAATAAAAAATTACAGCTAATTATTCCTTAACTAATTAACAAATTAGCTAAGTAAGCAGTTAAACTATCATGCAAACTACAAGAAACGGATTGCCTCAGCTCTACCTTGGGTGATGAAGGATGCATGAATGCTTGAATTGCCTTGTTCAGAAATCCCTCGCGACGCCCCGACTTGCCTTTGGTTGCAATTGACCTCAGAACATTGCACAAGGCTCCAGAAGGCTGAAACTCCACCCTGGGAGTCTGTGGGAAGGCTGCTGACCAACTATTGGTCTTGGAGACCACCTACCAACCACCTTTTGTGGGAGAAACCAAAAGAGGTGGTCGGCCTGCCAGAAAAGCTGGTCGGCCGACCAGTTTCTGCCTCTGGTTCCTGGTTTTCTGCAACAAGGAGAAAGAGAGAGGCATGGCAAGGTATTTTCAACATATGTGTGCACGACCACTCTCTCCATCATTGTACAAGCTCAAGAGAGTGTAGGTCTCGATCCTCGGGCCATCAATCACGCGTCTCGATGCATGATGGCCGAGGAACCGAATTGCACAACTTAATATAGAATGAATGCACATATGAACACATTAATACCTAAACTCCATCATGTATAGTCAAGAGTGTCGGCGACAGGGAATCGAGGCACGTTTCATCACTTCGAGTATGAAACGTCCCTCGTTTCCCGTGTTTGGGCTAACTCCTATCCCAAACACAATGCAACAAACATGGCATGTACCAATGCAACTCTAGCAAGCAATCCTAATGCAATGCCACTTAGCCATGGATACATGCAAAGGATGAACATGCAAGCATGCACCTAGCATACACAATGCTAAAACTACATGGCATGTATAATGCTCATGACACTAGCATACGCAATGCACATGGAAACTAACATACACAATCAGATAAACAAGGCATGCACAATGCAGTGATCAATCATGCGACAACATGGCACTCAATGTTGTGAACTACAATGGCATACTCGATGCAAAATGGACTTAAACCAAAATGGATGGGCCTCAGCCATACCCAAATCAGTGCCCATAGATGATGAAAACAAAGCTCCAAAACTCATGCCAGCATGCACAATACAATGGCCCCGAGCCTAAGGCACAAAAACATAACTTTGTACATGCATTGAAAGGACTAAACATGGGGTACAATGGCATATATTCCAGCTCTGAAATGGCATATAACATGACTCCAAAATGACTCTGAATCATGCAAACAACTCACACAACGCATGTTGGATGGCTCAAGCATTGAAACTAGTAAAATGCATTACACTATAGGCATGAAAAGCGATGCTCAAATGATGAAACCAACCCCAAACAGACCATATGCAGGCCCAAAATAATAGCAAAATGGGTTGGGATGATGGCTTGAAAGGCACAAAAGTGAAGCTCATGCAATGGCTCGCAAATAGGGCATAAATGCACAACTCTAAAGAGCACTTAAAGCATGGAAAATATGGAAGTGTAACACCCCTATAAGCTCTGAAATATCATGCCCAATGATGCCAAAACATCCAAATAGCTTAAGTTAAGCATGCAAGGGACCTCCAAACTCAAAGCTAGTCAATGCTATTACACAATAAGTATGCATGGCAAGCATATTTTGACCAAGAGGCCTTAAGACAGAGCTAAGGCAGCCCAAAATATGAACAAAATCAGTTTGAAGCATGGCTAAAATATGCTAGAATAGAGGGCCAAAACAACATGCATTGTGAGCTAGTGAACATGAGTTACACTACAAGCATATGAAGCATGTAAAGGACTACCAAACCAAGCAAAAATAGAGTCATGGCATGCCAAATGATGGCCAAAAATCCACTGAAACAAGACCAATACATGCAAGAATGACATGCTCCTTTGATAAGCCATGAAAGGGGTTACTCTACACATGCAAGAAGCAAGCAAAAGGGGACCAAACTAGCCATGGTAAGAGCCTAGGTAGGTCTTAGAAGTCACCAAAAAGTGACTGAACTAGGCCTCAAAATGGTATAAACATATGCTCCTTTGGTAGGCCAAAAATGCTAGTAAACAAGACAACAAGAGAGAGGGTCACCCCTCTCTAATTTAGGCCCTCAAAACCACATGCCAACCACTAAAAATCCGCTGGATTTCAGTGGCTTAAAGGCCAAGCAAAGATCAACACAAAGGTCTCATGGTATGGCACAAAACAAGGCTAAATAGAGCATGCAAGAGGGTAGATGACCCTTAACACCAAAAGAGCCTTAAACAATCATGAAAAACACTTAAATATGAAGCTTTTTTCAATTGACAACAAAGCTCAAATAAGCATGCAAATGAGGCTAAGAGAAGGATCGAAACAATGCTTAAAAAGAGGGAAAAGGAATTACCCTTGAAGCTCAGCAAAACCAGCAACTTTCTGAACCAAAACCCAACTTTTGAGACCTCTCAAAACCCTCCAGCAACTCAGTAACAATGGTGGAGGTGTATGGTTATGAGTTGGTGTGCAATAGGCCAAGAACAAAGCACTTTCTAAGCCTAAAATATAGAGACAAAGAGAGATATATGCTTTGCCTTAGAGCAATTCGTCAACCTGGTATAAGGACAGGGAGGGCCTCTCTTATAGAATTTCAAAGCCAAAGTTTCTCCCAGAAGCTAAAAACTTGGTTATTGAGGATCCAGTCTGTGCCTTCCAACTGGCACAGTTTGCATGCACTCAGACAGACAAAACAGGAGGAAGCTGGCCGACCAAAAGAGGTGGTCGGCCAACCACTTTCCCTGGTCGGCCGACCAGGGCAAGTGGTCTCCCAAAACAAAGGCTGGTCAGCCAGGGGGATTGGTGGTCTCCACACTGAAAGCAAGCCTAAGGTGTGGTGAAAGACCAGTAAATGTGGCCCAAAGATTAAGAAAACCAGTTTCCCTACTTTCTTGACCAGAAAATTGGCTGGCGGGGAGAAAAGTGGTCTCCAAGGAGAAAAGGTGGTCTCCCACCCTTGTACCACCTCCCTAACAAGGAAAACAAGGTTCATGCCAAAAATGAACCAACACGGATGCAAAGTGAGAGTTCGGGAGGCAAAGCGCACGGCCGGGTGCCTCGAAAACTGGCTGTTGAGCACTGAAAGTGGCGTGTGACCACAAAAGTGGTCTCCCGGGCCACAGTGTCCCCCTGGACAGAGGAAACAAGGTGCGTACCAAAAACCCGGGCAAACGGAGAATGTTAAGCGGTCCCGAGCCAAGGCGCACGACCGACGTCCCCGAAAATTGGAAACTAGTCTCCAAATAGGAACAGTGGCCTATGACCACGAAAGTAGTCTACAACCACTGAGAGATGGTGTACAAGATCTCTCCCTCCCTTCGGAAAGGGAAAACAAGACCTGGTCCGCAAACCGAGTCAAAGCACAAAAAAGTTCTGAGGCCCGGAGGCAAGGCTCTCAGTCGAGAACTCCGAAACCTCAGGATGAGCACAACATGCACCATCATCAAGCGCTCAATTGATGACGTCTGAGTCTTAAGGTCAGTCAAAAATGGGGTGTTTGCAGTTGCCCCTCTTTGACAGAACTCGAAAGTCATAACAATGACGGAAGTGAATGTCAAAACCCAGAGACGACACATTTTTGACAAGGCCGAAGACTTAGACAAACAGGCGAGATAATCAAAGAAATGTGCCCGCAGGCAGGGGCAAAATGCAAAAGACATGCACAAAGCCGGACATAAGTTATGATCATGCAAAGAAAGCTGTAACAAGGCATATCACGCAACAGTTTTAAGCAATCATACACAAATCTAACTACATTTTAGTGCAGAAAGGATGTAAGAGAATTATTCAATTCTCGTTATGTCTCACGCAGAGAACATACAATACCTGTGGTTTGTCTGGCCGCGCCAGCCTCAAATGAACCGTACATACAATATCATGCTTGTAAAAGAAAGAAACTTAACAGGTACAATACTGTTAGAAATATGCATAACAATGCAAATGAAAAGTGCTTAACAACTCAAGCGAAGGGATGCATGACAATGCAAGCTAGGTGTGACGCATAACAATGCGAGCGAAATATGCATAACAATGCAACAAGTGTGCGTGAAAACGCGGGTAAAGTGTGCATAACAATGCGGTTGAAACAAGCATGACAATGCAAGTAAAATGTGCGCGACAACGCAGGTGAGGATTGCATAACAATGCAATTGAGGCATAAACACATGTAAGTGAAGTACACGCGACAACGCATACAATGTGTGAAGCATGATGTAGACACTTGTAAGTAAAGCATACACGACAGCGCATGCGATGTGTGTAACAGGAATTGAACACATGTAAGTAAAGCATACGCGACAATGCATGCAATGTGTGAAGTAGGAATTGAACACATGTAAGTAAAGCATATGTGACAACGCATACAATGTGTGAAGCAGGAATTGAACACATGTAAGTAAAGCATACGCGACAACGCATGCAATGTGTGAAGTAGGAATTGAACACATGTAAGTAAAGCATACGCGACAACGCATGCAATGTGTGAAGCAGGAATTGAACACATGTAAGTAAAGCATACGTGACAACGCATGCAATGTGTGAAGTAGGAATTGAACACATGTAAATAAAGCATACGCGACAACGCATGCAATGTGCGAAGTAGGAATGGCGTGCGCAACAACACAAGCAAAGAAAGTACGTAACAATGCAGGAGAGGTATAACTTTAATAGCATGCTCGAAACAAAACGCTGAGTTAAAGAAGTGCAAGCCTCAAAGAGGGCAACTCAAACGCGACCTCCGATTCACCTCTCTGAGGGGTTACAACGTACTAAAAAGGATACACCTTGCTCTTGGCGAATAACAACAAGCCACATGTGGAACACTTGAATTGAAGTTCCCGCGGAGACATTTCGTGCGAAAAGTGCACTTTTCTTGTATTTTCTCGAGAGTCGAGGACTCCAATCATCACCAAAATGCACAGGGAAAAGAAAGGGACTTTGGAGACCACCCCTGAGGGCCACCGACCACCCAGCAAAGCCACCGACCCCAAAAGGTAGTCGACCAGCCAGAAAAACTGGTCGGCCGACCAATTTACTAAAATTGGGGCAGTTTTGTCTTTTGACATTCAGATCTTTAAGTTCACTTGGCCAAACCACTTTTGCTCACAACTCTAAGGCCGAAATCAGCTCCTCTTCCTTCCTAGACCATTTTCCCCCTCAGATCTGCACTTTATATGCGTTTTCCAACGCCCCACGCAAAGTTGTTTCGTGAAAACTTTCGGTTCTCTTCACTTTGAACCGATTAAAATTTGATTTCGGAGCTTCTTTCTCCATTTTCACCAATTGAGGTATGTTTGTCTCGATGTTTGGCACATTTTCTCGGGAGTTGACTTTTGTTGACTTTTTCCTTTCCCGAGAGTTGACTTTTGTTAACTTTTTGCAATTTTGGCTCATTTCGCTCATTTTTTGCTCATTTTGTAGATTTCTTAGGATGGCGGATCACTTTCCTCACGATGGAGGTCCTCCACAGGCCGGGGACGAGCCATATATCATGTCATTGCCACCGAGGATTCGTCCTTTTGACCCGGAGAGGTACGACCCTCAGGAGCACATCCTACCTCCTGCCACCTTTTATCATTTTACCAACTTCGAGCGGCGAGCACCCCCAGATTTGCTGCTTCGAGAGCCGGAGTCCCATTTATCTCACCAGGCGCGAGAGGTATGTACTTCACTTTTACATTCTCTACAATGTGTTTTTATATTTCTTGCACACTTCATGTTTTCGCTATGTATTATATCTGCTCGTTCTGAACACATTTGCATACACAACATCCAGTCCATTTGGCACACAGCTTATACATAACAATACTCTGTTCCTTTGGCACGCAGCTTACTTTGAACACACAATTTGTCTCAGGCACACAGCACATTTTCAAGCACATAGCTAACTCTTTGGGCATACAGCTAACTCTTTGGACATACAGCTCATTTTCTGGGCACATAGCTCGTTTTTCGGGCACACAGCTCGTACGTTTCTGAACACGCAGTTCATAGATTTTCATTTCTGAACACACAGGTCATTCACTTCATTTGCACGCAGCTCATACTGAACACACAGTCCATAACACAACATTTGATTTGATCTGCATGAAGCTCATGCATTTCCCTTTGAATACGCAGCTCAGACCTTTCAATTTTGAACACACAACCCATGCATTTTTGTTCGCACGCAACTCATACATTTCACCTTTCATTTACTTCATTTCTGAACACACAGTTCATCTACTTCATTTGCACGCAGTTCATACATTTCATTCTGAAACTGAATACATCTGTTCATTCTGAATGCAGGTATCTTCCTGTTCCACACGGGGTTATGGATCGATCCTTGCTAGGGAGTGGTATACGGAGCTCCCAGATGTTGTACATCACATCGTGGACGAGGCGGGGTTTGAGCTTTTCTGCGCGGGGATATCACGTTATCCGGCGAGCAGGACCCTCATAGGGGTACTGGTGGAGAGATGGTGGGACACCACCAAATCGTTCCACTTTTCAACTACTAGAGACATGACGATGACCCCATATGGCTTCTCTATGTTGACGGGCCTTGACGTAACCGGCCGACCGGTCCCCTATGATGCAGACATGGGTTAGTAGGAGGCGGCTTGGATATATTTGCTGGAAGTCCGCCCACCGATCGACAGATCATCCGGTAGAGTCAGGTACACTTGGTTCCCCGTGCAGTATAGGGGGACTTCGCCCAAGACTATCGAGGAGATAGAGCAGTATGCTCGAGGGTTTTTGATGTTCCTCCTTGGGACCACTTTGTTCTCCGACAGGGGGAGCACTGTTGGGCTTTATCTTCTTAGTGCGTCAGTAGACCTATCACAGGTCAGTTAGTATGATTGGGGTGGCACTGCCCTTCCTACCCTTTATTGTTACATGAGCGCGACCTCCCGCGGGTGGGGGAACATAGTCGGTGGCTATTAGAGAGCTTGGGAGGTACATTCTGCCCTCTTGATTTTCGTTTCTGCTTTTCATTACCTGTACACTGCACACGGCACGCATTACTTTCTGCACTCTGTATTTTGACAACCACTACCTCGCCTTTCACAGCTATGGGTCTATGCATACTTTTCGACGTTGGCCCCAGAGCTCAAAGTAGAGGTACCTCTCGAGATCCCTTACTCTCACAGATTCGAGGGTCAGTGCCGGCCTCGGCCTCGGGAGACTTTGCCATATCTCCGGCAGTACTTTGACACTGTTCGGGCGACGGAGGTAATCCAAAACTCTCAGTCTTTCATGCTTTCAGCTTTGATTTTCCTTGCATATTTATGACATCTAATCAGTTTATGTACTTATCATTCGCAGATTACTTGGTAGCCATGGGCACCTTTGCCAGGAGATACCCGGTTCCGGTTCTGGTTCTCTAGGGGATGGGCCGCTTCGCGATACAAGGTTTTATTTGAGGGGCCAGTTGGCAGGGCCTGGTTTCTAGGGAATCGCTTCTTGTGTCAGACGATGGGCCACCCTGATCAGGATATCCCCTCAGTACCTCCAGAGGACATGCGGTCCACTGAAGGACTCACTCCCCAGGAGGTCGAGGTCACTATGTTGGGTAATGATGTTATTCTGTTCCTGGAGGAGAGGGAGTACGCGACCTACCGCCATACATACTTGATGCCTCCACTGACGGGTGTCCGTCCTCCCACGAGAAGGGCTGCTGGTGCATCATCATCGAGTCAAGTTCGGGTTGCGGATACCCTTTCGACTAGCAAGGCCGGCACATCGAGAGGTGGGGCTGGACAGATTCCCCCAACTTACCAGCATGCTGGGTGCCCAGATATCCCAATCGAGCTAACAGGTTGGCGGTATGGGACATCCTACCCGATTCCATTGGAGCCTCCATTGTCTGACCATCGATACGTCAGAGACCCTAACTCGCCACCGGTATGCTTTACAGTTTTGATTTATCACTCAGATATTTAGACAGTCATTCATTTATTGATGACTTGCACTTGCATTTGTAGCCTCCCAGCGAGTATATGGATGGATTGCTCGAAGTGGTGGCCTCGCTCGAGGGCATGGTCCTGCAGAGGGAGATGCTACTGTTTGTCGCCGGCGTTCAGGTACTTTTCAATTTCCTTGCATTTATCATACTTCTGATGACATACTGAAATTGAATATTTCACCACATTGGTTGACTGCATGTGTAGAGCATATCTGCCACACACCACATTCACATACTATATCTACATGCACTCATTCTACGTAGCATTCTTGCATCTACACTTGACATACATACTGGCTAATGCACTCAAACTGTCTTTTTCAGGTCCCACTACTACAGGCTGGGCCATTCAGGCCTTCTCGAGGTACTGGGAGAGGGAGTTCGACTCGCAGTCGAGGCAGACGTAGAGCACTTATCAGAGATGATGAGAAGCCTAGCGAGGAGAAGGAGTCTGCGCATCTTCAGTCGGAGACATTCGTAGGCAGAGAGGAGGACTCTGGCTCCGGTTCTGAGAGTGGAGGTGATGCCGGGGTGGATCCCGAGGATGGTAGCTCCGACTCAGATGGTGGTGCTGGTGGAGGTGGTGCAGAGGCTACCCAGGTGAAGAGGATGAAAAGAGCCTCTCGATCTTGAGCTTGATGGCACCGATGCAGATGTTCCTGCTTTATTTTCTTTTTTTACTAGTAGTTGTAGCACATTAGCTTAGGCAACAGTTTTTTTTTCTTTTAAAACTTGTACCTTGTTTTAAGATGTTGTAACAAAAGAAGCTATGATGGAATGAAACAGCTTTTTGTTGAAAAAGTGTTGTATTTTGCATTCTTAGCATCGCATCGCATCACATCATTTTGCACAAAAATGAAATTGAACAGAAATTGAGCACTGTACATTGCCAAGTCAGGTAGTGAACCGACGCAACAAACTAAACAACTTAACCTACTAAGAAACAACAAAACCTTAGCAAGTTTACAACTCGGTAAGCAAATCTTGGTAATGTTGACAAACAAAGAGTAACAACTCGATGTACAAAACCCGACAACTCAATTGGCAAACTTAATAACTCGATAAACAAAACTCAACAACTCGATAAGCAAATGCATTTCTGACAATCCAGGCGACGGCATGCATCCGGAACAGAGGCAAACTCAGACCTTCAACACTCACAACACACAGAAAGGCAAGGAGCTCTCCTCTATAGACTAGGAAAAGACCAAAAACCAGCTTTCGTACTTGGCCGACCACCTTGTGTGGCTGGCCGACCAGTTTTTTGCCCTGGAGACCAGTTGTGTGGTCAGCCGACCAGAAAAACTGGCTGGCCGACCAGTTGGCCCGGCGACCTCCAGATTTTTGACACGTGTCCTCCCAACAGTGCCTTATCCTCCATAAAAGTTCCAGCTTCGTGGCTTTCTCATTCCATCTCAATTTTTCATCAAAACGGAGGTGTTTCTCATCCAAAATCCCACAGCTTGGATTGCTACTTTAGACGGCTCGGAAAAGTTGAACTCCCGGGGCTTCGGCATAAATGCACTATTCACTTTGAGTCGCACCCCGCTGTATTTTCCGTTCCTCCATGCCACGGCAAGGTTTTGGAATCCGGTAACACGCGTCTTTAGCTTTGGCGGGCAAGAGGTATGTCTTACCTTCGAAGACTTCCAAGCTTTGATGGAATCCGAGCACAACGAAGAAATCTTGCCCCAGCTTCGCTTCGGCCACGCCCAGGCCTTAGGACGAATGTGTAGGCTCACTATGCATGACGCTCGGTCTTTGATCTGTGACGGAATGCTGGATATCTCGAGTTTGATTCATCGATTTTCCGATGCCGGTGACCGCAACGACTATCATTGGCAGGGCTTTCGGTGACATGCGCTTTGCTTATGCATGCTGTCCCGTTTCTTGCTTGCCTCAGGCTTCGGAGGATCTAGTGTCCGGTTGATCGAGGTTGCCCAAGGCTTAAAGGAGGGCAAGAGCTGCATTGCCATGACACTGGCTGAGACGTTGATGGGCTTGGATGTCTTTCATTGCCGAGAGACAACCAGATTTGCGGGGAGTCCACTACTGCTACAGGTAATGTTTTCCATCCTTCCTTACATATATACTGCTCACATCACTCGGCCTTCAGGCTCGATTTTTCTCTCAAAATCCTTTCCTCACTTTTCTCTCAACGTACACCTCTCTATTCTTGAATCTCTCATTTTTTATCCCTTCCCAGGTGTGGTTGATGAACAAGTTGCAGGTTGTGACTCATGCTCAACATACTCAGCTCGCGGTTATTTCTTCAGACAATGTCTAGTCGATGCCCTTGGTGAGGGATGGTGGTTCGACTGGATGTGCAGCTTGTCCGCAGAACGTATTGCTTGGCATTGTCCTTGGCTCAATCTACCAGCAATGAGCTATAGCATGTTCCGTCAGATCGGGATTCAGTTGATTGGCCTGACACACTGCGTGTTCTACTTTCCATTCCGATTCCAGCGCCAATTTGGCCATGATCAGATTTGCCCGACAGAGAGGATAGAGTACCCCGCTGCATTGCTGGTCCGAGGCGCACAACTAGCTCGGTATGACGCGGCAAGGAGGACGAGAAAACTTCTGGCCCCCGCTCCCACTTTCAGTTGCACCCTTTCTGATGAGTGCATAGATTGGCTCAATGAAGAGGCACAGATTAGGCCCAGCTTTGCATCAGAGGCTTTGACCAGCTCTGGGTGGGGACCCGGGAACACCTGACTATGCCCCTAATTTATTTGCTTTAATCAGAACTTTCAAGTTTTCTTTATGGGTGTAATAAAAAGCAACTTCAATTTGTATTCAAGAGCAAGAGAACTCGATACTGAAAATTTTCCGTTTTGGTCCAAAAATGGTCTAAGTTGTAAAAAGATTAATTTGAGCAAAATCAACTTTTATTAAAACTTTTCAAAACCATTTTTGATATGGATCAGAACTGGACATGCCTAAGATCTGTCATTGAGATGCACAACCTCGGATCCTAGCAATTGGAAAGTTGCCCCCAGTCTGAATAGCATTGCACTGGAGATCACAACCGAGCTCTTGAATGCAGAATAGACAAAGATGGCCCAACAACATCACATGGACAAAGTTGATCGGGGAAGTGTTTATGGCTGGACTTCAGGATGAAGTTGCCTATATATCCCAAAGATGGGAATCAAGCCTTACGTAGTTTGGTTAAGGTTCACTCGTGTATTAACCCTCACCTTTTACGCTCTAACTTTTGCCAAGGCCGCCCTTTGCGGGTTTTCAACCTTGCCAGCTCAATTTTTATAATTTCCAATTTTCTATGCTCTAACTTTTGCCTAGGTTGCCCTTTCGGGTTTTCGGCCTAGCGAGCCTCTTAGGGGTAATATTTCTTCAACTTGTTCATGTTGATCGGCTATGAGAACTCTAGGCCATCTAGGTCCATCAAAACGACAGCTCCACCCAACCAGATAGACTTGATGATGTAAGGATCGGTCCAATTGGGTCTGAACTTGCCCCTAAGGTCATGGATGGGAGCTCGGTTATCTTTGAGCACTAAATCTCATTCTTTCAAATTCTTGGACTTAACCTTCTTGTTAAAAGCCCTAGCGATTCTCCGTTGATAACCCTGAACATGGTACAGTGCTTTCAACCTTCTTTCATCAAAGAGCATGAGTTCTTCGAATCTGCTCTGCTGCCAATCTACCTCGGGTATCTGACACTCAGCCAGTATTCGCAATGACGGAACCTCAATTTCGATAGGTAGAACGGCTTCCATCCCATAAACCAATGAATACGGAGTCGCCCCAGTAGAAGTTCTAATTGACGTCTGGTAGCCCCATAGAGCAAATGACAGCGTATCTCGCCAGTCTCGATAGGTTTCCACCATCTTCTGCAAAATGTGTTTGATGTTCTTGTTGGCGACCTCAACTACTCCGTTGGTTTACGGCCGATATGTGGATGACTTATGAAAATCCACATTGTATTTCTCTAACAAGTCGATCACTTCTTTCTTGAAGTGGGAACCATTGTCTGAAATGACCTCGTTCGGGACCCCATAACGACAGATGATGTTGTTCCTGATGAACTTTGCAACATGTAAAGCCTTCAACATCGCATAAGATTGGGCCTCAACCCACTTTGTAAAATAGTTTATCGCGACCAGGATGAACTCATGCCCATTCGACCCCTTCGGCGTGACAGCCCCAATCACATCGATTCCCCAAACTGAAAGTGGCCATGGCGAAGTCATATTGTACAGCTTCAACGGCGGAATATTCATACGATTTGCATGGATCTAACATTTGTGGCATCGCCGAACAAAGCCAATACAATCCTCCTCCATGGTGGACCAGTAGTAACCCTGTCTGAGAATCTTCCGGGCTAGCATCACCTCGTTCATGTGCGCCCCGCACTCTCCTCCATAGATGGCCTCCATTAGGCACTTCGATTCTTCGGTATCAACACACAGCTTGTGCATTCCCAGATGACCTCTTTTATACAATTTTCCCCCGTAGATGATGAACTGAGCAGCCATTCTCCTAATTGCCCTCTTATCTTTGGCATTTGCTCCTGGTGGATACGTCTCTTTTTCCAAGTTCCAAACATCGTAATACCAGGGGTTCTCATCTTGAACCTCTTCTATAGCGGTAATCAGCTCGTATGCTAGCATAAATTTCTGGTCAATGATGATCGGACGCATCCGGACTCCAAAAGGGATGTCTATCATGGAAGATAGAATTGCTAGTGAATCTGCAAACCTATTGTTCTCTCTTAGTAGATGAGCGAAGTTCAGCTTCTCAAACCGAGGAATCAGCAAGTTCAAGGTCTGATGGTACATTCTCATTTTTTCTTCTTTGACTTTCCAATCTCCCTTAGTTTGGGATACAACAAGGTTCGAGTCCCCGATGACGTCCAACCGTTTTGCCCCTAGTTCTATGGCTACTTCTAAACCAGCAATGCATGCTTCATACTCTGCTTCGTTGTTTGAGACTTTGAACCGGAGTTTAAATGCTAGCGGGATATGGGAATTATCGGGTGCTATCAGCAACACCCCTATCTCATACCCGTATTGGTTTGACACTCCGTCAAAGTACATCGTCCAGGTTTCGTCTTCGACATACAAAATGGCCTCGTTTGGGAATAAGTACTCAACCGCTTCATCCCCTTCAACTGGGTGATCGGCTAGGAACTCCGCTACTGCTCTCCCCTTTACTGACTTCCGAGTCATATACTTCAGATCGAATTCGGAAAGTAGAAGCAACCAACGAGCTAGCCTACCCGGAAGTGTCGGTTTCTCGAAGAGATATTTGATGGGATCTAATCTTGAAACCAACATTACGGAGTGAGCTAACAGGTAGTACCGCAACTTCCTGGTAGCCCATACCATGGCCAAACAAGCATTCTCGATTGGAATGTAGCGGGTCTCGTAATCCAGCATCTTCTTGCTCAGGTAGCAGATAGCTCACTCCACTTTATCCTCAGACTCTTGTGCAAGCATGCAGCCCATTGTAGTTTCAGTCACTGAAAGGTACAAAATCAACAGTTTCCCCGGCTCAGGTGGTGACAACACGGGTGGGTTCTGTAAGTATTGCTTGATATATTCAAAAGCAGCTTGGCATCGGCTGTCCCATTGGAACTTCATTCCTTTCTTCAGGAGACCAAAAAGTGGTTCACAAGTCAAGGTTAATTTTGCGATAAACCGTCTTATGAATTGCACTTTACCCAGAAAGCCTCGCACCTCCTTTTCAGTCCTTGGTGGTGGCATTTCCAAGATGGCCTTGATTTTGGAAGGGTCGACTTCGATAC